GTATTTTGACCCAAATTTCTACCAATGGTTACTTGAATTCGTGTTCGGTCAAGGGAGCCGCTTCACAGAGGTCTGGGAGAAGTTTCGTAAAACCATCCTTTCCATTCAAAAAATAGGTTATTATCGTTCCTTTTCCCTGTAAAGAGAAAATTTTTGAAAGAAACGTGATTTCCTACCACGACAAAACTGATATCGGCCAAATGACCAACAAATCGAGGGTATTTGGCAAGTTCTAAGGAGACTTAGATCTACATGTACCAGCACGAAAATGTATTTCCGTGGGTTTTACAGTTTTCAATTCTTTCATTCTACAAAATTTACTGATGCGTAATACCCGTCTCTAGAGAAAAAGTTAATCGTTTTGTATTAAAATCTTGCATATTCTTTTGGGTCAGCCGAGTCAGCTATTTTTATCATTCATATTTCTTATATTAAACAATTTACCTTTTAATTTTACACATCATTAAGTTTACGGTCATTTTTCATTGATGATATATTTGGCCTGATTATTGGACGACGACAAGTTATATGGGTGATATGATTGGTAAATCATTGTCTTAGTCAATCACATACGTTTGACTCTGTCACTCACCTTAATGGAGACAGGTCCTCTTTGTTCAAGGTGAAAGACTCCAAGTTGATCTAAGGCTGTTTTACATTCTGGGCTCAAGTGGATTCTTAGGGCTGAAGTATCAGTTAAGTTTGAAATTTAAATGAATAAAGGCTGATAGTTTCTAAAGGATATCTGACAACCTCATTCCCAGGGTCTCTCATCTTCCCGCCACCTGGAGCGAGAGAAGAGAGACCCTGGTTTAGGTTGGTCACGTGTCTTCCTGATTTTAGCAGATTACAAATTAGTTTTGAGCGAGGGGCAGATTAGTGGGAATTTCTCTCCACTAGCGAGCGTAGCTTGTCGGTAATCAAAACAAACCACACGTGAAGTGCCTCGAACCGAATGATTTCAACTGGGAATATTCGTGAGACGCCCAAAAAGATCAGTAAATCTTCCACTACGGTAAATAACAGTTGTTGCAGGCTTTGTAAATCAGTTGGAGATGTATCTTGCTCGAAGAACATTTATGCAAAAGGAAATCGCGCATTGCTTGCCGCTGCGGAGGACATTTATGGCCGACCGTTGAGACAAGGAAAATTTTTGCCACAGCTATTATGTAGGCCTTGCGAAAGACGCTTCAAAAATTTTATTTCCTTCAAATGGTGATCAGTGAAAGTCAGAGTTCTTTTGAAACAGTGAAGCGATGTACAGAAATATCACCACCTGTGCCACGCACCTTGGCCAAGAGTGCAAGGGAATCTAAGGGGAGAAGCCGTCGCGGTCTAAATTTCGTTACAGTACCAACACAAATGCACTCTCGACGGTCCCAAATACTTCTTTGCCGCTTCCGAGTTGCGTGCATTTTTACGAAAGGTGACAAATTTCTTTCCTAATGAGCTACTTTTGATTGACTTAGCCGCTGTCGGAGATTTTTGGGAAGAAGATGTCCATGAAAATTCGTAGAAACATTTTTTTGGGCTCGTTTAACCGATCTCTCTTTTTCTAGTACTTATTTCGTTTAGCAGAAGAGGAAAAATGTGCACGCGATTGTGTGTACTTGTTCGCTTTCCTTTGTTTACATAATTTGACGTGCCAGTGTTTATTTGATCACAAATAAATCTGCGGCTGCCGTATAGAGGTTTTGCACGGCAGCCATGTTGGATGGCAGGAACAATGAAAATATTTTGCATAAGAAAGAAATTTTTTCCCCATGGTTAAAATAATCTATTGTTCCTGCCATCCAACATGGCTGCTGTGCAAAACCTCTATTTCGTCGGTAAAACGGGAACAACATCTCTACCCGAATATATCGCTTCTAAACACTGGACTTGTTTGGGTTTTAAATTGAGGTTACAATACCTACTCCGAGATATAGCGACTTGAAGGCTACTATAAAACATGGCAAACTGAACAATGATAGCGTCGATTCGAAGAGGACAAAGGAAATAAGGCAAAAAGTGAGCAAACAAACGACTCGTCC